AGGTTCCTCGCTGAGCCCACCCTAGACCCAATACATAGTCTGTGCTTAATAACTGCTCTTTTAATGATTGAGTGAATAAGGAAAGACAGAGGAATAGAATGTCCTGGTCTGATTGGGTGGGAGAGTAAATAATCAAAACTTTAAGATGAGTTCTTTGAAAGCCTTGAGAAAGGCAAATTATTAAAAAGCATTTTTACTAAAGGGCTAATTGTGGTTAATTTAACTAAGAAGGTTTAGAAAAATCTTGAAAGTCTAGAAGGGAAATCTAGGAGACATTGCTCTGCTTTATGTCTGTAAGTTCTCGCTTGGCTTTTATGTCTTTAAGTTCTTGCTTTGCTTTAAAGTTATAGAAACTAGAAATGGATATGGGAATATGGTACAATATGATTTACACAAAAACCTTAAGCAGTGCTCCAGTCTATAACCCATATCTAAGAAAAAGCCATCACTAAAGATTGTTGAGCCAATGTGCATTTATGGGTTTAAGTTTCAGTGTTTATGGCCTGTTTCTTTTATGATTCTCTATTTTATCACTTTTATTTAATCAACTAATTACCAGGCATAATTGAGTCAGCCAGAAGGACTTTGGTGTTTCAAAAGGCTAGCGTTATCCTCAGCCATTTCAACATCTTTTAACTCTTTGGAGTAGAAGGGATTTTAAAGATAATCCATGTCACAAATGAGGTTGCCCCGGCTCCAGAGAGGATGTCCTTGACCATGGCCCCAAAATGAGTAGAGGAGGAAAATGATGGCTTCTCCCACTGCTCCCTACTAGAAGGCAGTTCTGTGGGGGCCAGAAGAATGCTGTGATAGGCAGAATAATGGCCCCCCAAAGATGTCCATGCCCTTACACCTGAAGCCTCTGAACATGTTATTTACATGGCAAGAAGGACTTTACAGATGTAACTAAGGCAAAGGACCTTGAAATGGGGAGATTATCTTGGATTGTGTGGGTGAGCCGATCTGGTCATACGAGTCCTTATAAGTGAGAGAGGAGGCAGAAGAGTGAGTCAGAGATACAACAATGTAAGAAGAGGCAGGAGGGAGTCAAAGCGTGAGAGGGTTTTGATCTATCATTTCTGGTTTTGAAGATAGGGGAAGGGAGGTGGAGCCAAGAAATGCAGAGAGCCCCTAGAAGCTGGGAATGGCCCTCAGCTGACAGCTAGCAAGGAAATGGGATCTCGGTCCCACAGCTACAAGGCACTTTATTCTGCTAACAACCTGAATGAACAAGGAAATGCGTTTTCCTCTTGAGCGCCCATAAAGGAGCGCGGCGCTGCCAACACCTTGCTTTTAGCCTGGTGAGATTTGTGTCAGAATTCTGATCTATAGAACTTTAAGATAATAAATTTGTGTAGCTTAAGCTGCCAAGTTTGATGTAACTTGGTACAGCAACAATAGAAAACTAATACAATGAATTGGTGACAGACCCCCTCTCTGCTTCAGAATATTCTGGTGCATAGCAACTGATGTCATAGAAAAGATTCTAGAAGAGCAGGTCATGGAGAAGCACTTGTGGTTTAGAAGCTCTTGGGTGAAGGTAAGCGAGTTATCGAGGAAGTGGAATCTGCAGAGTCCAGGGAACTGAGTGCAGGTAGAGCAACTTTCCTGCAAAAGGTCAAAGCTGCTGCAGTGGCTGCCCCTCCCCCAAGGAGGCCCCAAGGCCTGCAGAGGGCCTGGTGAACTGGTAAGCTGGTATAGGATGTGCAGGACTGGGAAGGATACGATGATATCCAGGTGCAGGAGACACTCAGCAAATCCATTTCTTGCTTATATGATCACCATTCTGTTGGGAAGAGTTGGCTTTTTCCCATTCATTCATTCATTCATTCATTCAACAGAGACTCACAGAGTCCCTACTATACACCAGGCTCTGTTCTAAGTTCTGGGGATAAAGCAGAGAACAAAACAGACCAGGTTTCTGCATTCCTGGTGTTTACACTCTGGTATGAGAGATAGACAAATAAATGAACAAGGTAATTTCTGAAATGGCCTTATTTTATGAAGAAACTAGAAATGATTTTCTGGGCTGGAGCAGTGATCAGAGAGTCCTATTAGAGATGCTGAGCTTATTTTTGAGCTGAGACCATGACCAGAAAGAGCAAGCTCTGTGGTGGTCGGGGGAGTCATGTTCCAGGCAGAAGAAAGAGCAGGTGCAAAGAACCTGTGGTGGGAATGAGATTGGCATGTTCAAGGAAAAGAAATGTGCAAGGTGAGTGTGGTGGTGTGAATGTGAACAAGGGGGAGAGGCATGAAATCAAACTAGAGAGGTGCTCAGAGGCTAGAGCAGGAAGGGTCTTGTCAGCTAGGTTGAGGAGTTGGGATCTTATTTAAAGTGCCAGGGGAATCTGCTGGAGATGGGTGATGTGACTGGATATATGTTTTTAAAGAGGATTTTCTAGTTACTTTATAGATAATAGGGATGGGGGACAGGAGAGGATTGTGGAGTATCAGAGTATAGCTAGGAACCTCTACAGAAGTCAGAGATGATGGTGATCTGGACTGGGATGATGGCAGAGGAGATGGCGAGAGGTGGATTGGCTTTGGAAGAACAGGGGACAGGGCTCCCAGTGATTTCGCTGCAGGGGAAGAGGGAAGGAGGGAGGACTCAGCATGCCTCTTATGAGTATGTCTGGGAGACAGATATCATCTGAAAATATCGTTTGCTCCGCTGGAAAATGTAAACATGGACTTCTCTTCCAGTATGCATTGGAATTCAGTTATTAAGCTAAGGGCAAGGATGTGTGACCATAGCTCAAAAGACAAGTATCTGCTGGGGATTGAATACTTTGCATATTTAACTCATTTACTTTTCAAATCAACACAATTAGGTGAGTATTATTTTACTCATCATTTAGATGAGGAAACCAAGGCACAGAGAGGCTGAGTAACTGTCTTAGATCACTCCTGGGATTCCTAAAATCCCAGCTATTATGGGGCAAAGTCAGAATTTGGACCCAGGCAATCTGACTCCCAAGTCTGAGTACTTAAATGCTAGGCTAGGCCCTCCTTGACAGTGTATTTGGTATAATGGTGGTGTCTGTAAGTAATCATGTGACTTAAAAGTTTAGACAAATGTTTAAAAATGAAATTCTTCTAATTCAGGAATATACTTATTCATTTCTAATTTTCCCAAGCTAGACATTTAGGTCATTGGTTCTCACCAGGGGACAATTGTGTCTGCCAGCAGATGTTCGGCAATATATGGAGACATTTTTGTCTGTCACAACTGGGGGGGGAGAAGCTACTGGCATCTAGAGGCCAGGTGTATTCCTAAATAAACTCCAGTGCACAGAAAAGCCCCCAGGACAAAGAATTTTCCAGCCTAAGTGCCAAGGTCAAGAGCCCCTTGTGCAGGTGAATGTAGGCTGGCGGACACGCATGCACCTGTGAATGATGACAAACAGGAGGGTGCAATTAGTTGTCCAATTGATACATATTTTTGTAGTGTTGGGGGCTGTAGGGCATGCCAGGAAGAAGACATGCTATAATTTCCAATTGCACATTCTCGTCTGAGAGATAAGACATGGCATAGAACAGGACAATCACCTGGTAGGTGTTCTGGAAGTGATTCTGAGTGCAGTAGGGGCTCAGAGAGGGAACGTTAATGCAGGATTGCATCAGGTTTCAAGGAGGTGGCACCTGGAGTGGACACCTGAAGATGGAGCAGCGTTTGGGTGGAGAAAGGCATGGTAGGGTGCTGCGGATTGGGAAGAGCCATGTGTGGAGATACTAAGGTAAGAATTAGAAGGAGCATGGGCAGTGGAGTGTGGGGTAGGGAGGTGCGGGGAGGAACAGAGAAGGAGCAACGTGGGAATTCAGAGTTGACTGAATTGATTCCTCCTGATGGAGGGAGGACAGGGTAAGGCCAGATTATAGAGGGCTCAGAAAGCCAAGTGTGGGTTTGCTATCAGGAATAGGAAACTAACAGCTTTCCTAAAATGACATTGTATGCATGCTTTGGGGACATTGAAAACACTACCTGGAGGAGTTGGTCTGGAAGAGTGGAGGCCAAGAGTCTGGACTCAGCTTGCAGTGATGAAGGGGGTTTAGGTAAAGGTGATGAAGGGGGTTTAGGGGATAGAGATGAGGGGTTTTAGAGGATGATGAGGAGGAGGGTTTAGGGGATGACAATGAAGTGGTTTTATTGGAGTGGCGATGAACAGAGTTTAGGTGGTGACAACAGAAACGGAGAAAGAGAAACTCAGGAGTCAATTCTCTGAGCACCCCCCATATGCCCCCCCTTCACAGATGAGAAAGCAGAGGCACCCAGAGGCTAAGGCCTTGTCTGCTGTTGCCAGTGATGACCCCCCTACTACGTGGCAGGTCTGGGCTGGACTGGCGTTTGTCTCCTTGTGTGGACGGCCAGAGAAAACCTCAGCGGAGTTTGATTTGTAGACAATCTGGAGATAAGATTGTGGCCAGGGTGAGAGCACAGCTCTGAATATATTCTAGGGTAAAAGGCAATGGTGGAAAGAATTCAACATGGGAGTAGTGCTTGTGCTCGAGTGGTGGGACCACAGTGAAATTTTCCCTTCTCTGTTTCCCAACACGTACCTAATGGACAAGTTGTACTTTCACAATAAAAGGGAAGAGAGGATTTGAGCTTCTGTATCTAACGTGAAAGAGCAATGAGTGAGAAGAAAATCAAGCAGAAGCCACTGGGTTTTGCTGGAGGGAAAGAGTGTGTGTGGGTGGGTTGACCTTCATGAGAGCAGTTTCCTTAGTAAATGGGGGGTCCAGAAGAGGAGGAGAGGCAGGGTTTCAGGTGTCCTGGGTTTGCAGTGACATGAAGCTGAGGATTAGGGTGGGAAGAAGTATCACGGGTAAGCCAGGCAGAACTCCCCTTTTTCTGAACACACTGATTGCACACCCCCACCCCACAGTGCCCTTCTTTTCCTTCAGAGAAACCAGCGTCCCTGGGATCCTGGCAGGATTTCTCTGTGACTCTGCCGGCTCCCCTGGCCATTGTTGCCCTGAGTGACCAGGAGCCTGAGAAGATGAAGGCATTCATGGTTCTCTCCCTCATTGGCTGCCTAGTGGTTCCAAGTGGTGCTGCTGTCATGGGGCACTGTAAGGTGGCTAAGAAGCTCTATGAAGGAGGCCTGGATTATGTTGAGGGCTACAGCCCTTGGAAACTGTGGGTAGGCCCCCCTTAGCCCCCTCTCCTCTCCCCTCCTTTTCCTCTGGCCCCTGCCCCGGCAATTCCTGACTCCGCTGTCCTCCAAGCCACCCACCTCCTGTTCCTTCTTAGGGGTTGCCTGGCTTATTTTGAGAGCAAGTTCAACCCCACGGCCGTCTATGAGAACTTGCCCGGTGGCTACACTGGCTACGGCCTCTTTCAGATCCGCAGCTATGACTGGTGCGACAAGGGCAAGATCCGCAGCCACACGCCCTGCTCCGGGAGGCCCCGCCCCCTCCATCCCACACTGGGGCACAGGGGGCTGCAGCGCAGAGCGCAGAGGCCAGACTTCCGGGGGGCCAGAGTTTCCATGTTTGGAGCAGGGAGGCGGAGGGCCTGGCAGGTGCGGGGCCAGGGAGGCTGAGTGCTTCGCACCAGAGTGTGCAGGCTGTGGGTGGCGGCCAGGGACAGAGTCATGGAGACCTCCATCCAGATGGGCAGGATGAGAGGAGGCAAGGGGGAGGCTGTCAGCATCAGAGCCCACCTGAGCCTGAAGGGTTAGAGCAGAGGGCTCTGTCTGCATTGGCCTCAGCTCACCCGCGCTCGGCCACACACTCTTCTTCAAGGGGAACAGTGACCACTTGGACAGGCACAAGGGGTCACTGGGAGGAGACAGGAGCAGGCCATTCCTAGGGGAGCTTTCCCTGCTGCTCTCAGGGGTCCCCAGTACCCGTGGTCAAGAGGATGCACTGACCCAGGGTTCCCTCATCCTAGCATTCACTGAGCACCCACGATGTGTCACCCTCCTGGAGCTGACATTCTAGTGCTTGCTAAGCGCAGGGTGCTCCTCTAAGCTCTTCATTGGTCTGAATTCATCTAGTCTTCACAGAGACCCCCATGACATGGGCACTGTTATTATCCCATTCTACGAATGGGGAAACTGAGGCCCAGAGAGGGTGAGTACATGCCCAGAGCCACACCATTGTAGGTGGTGGTGTTGAGAGGCAAACCCACGCAGTGTAACTCCTGAGTCAGGAGGGTCTGAGGGCCCAGCACTCTCAGGGTCTCCCTGATGAGCAAAGCTCCCTCCCCCAGGATGAGTGAGGAACATTCCAGAACCTGTGGCTTCTGAGCTGCTTCTTTAGGAGACAGAGTGGAGAGGTCATAGTAGACTTGTAACCTTCTTACATGGTCCAGGAGAAAGCCGCTCAGTGTTGGGCTCCATGCTCAGTCTGGGGAATCCAGAGAGGAGTAAGATGGTTTCCAGATTCAAGGAGAAGCAAAATTGCAAAGTAGGAGGGAAAGGTGCAGAAGACACACAGGAACCCAGTGGGAATCCCAGCTGTTCCCATTACGAGTGAGCTACATGACCTTGTGTAGATCCCTTCCCAAAGCATACTTGTTTTCTCATACTTCTTTCCCTCTTTCTCATACTTCTTTCCTCATCTGTGAAGGGGGGATGACATTAGCTACCTCTTAAGGTTGCTGTGAGCATTAAATGGGATAATGTACGTAAAACACTGTGCAGGGCCCATAGGAACCACGTGATAAAAGTCTAGCAGAGACCAAACATTAAGAACATAATTTAATTACTGTGATAGAACATTCAGTGTTGCCCTGAGCTTCCTGTTAGCCAAGGCAAAAAGAGAAACCCAGTAGGCCCATAATTTATATATCATAAGAAGATAGATTGATTGATGGACTGCCAGAATCTGAGAGAAGAAACAAATAATTATCGGTAATGGAGGTGATACCAAGTGCTGTGATGAAAATAGGGTGGATTAGATATCCTAAAAAACCCTCCCACTAGATAAAATGTAAAAAAATAAATAAATAAATCTGGGGCGCCTGGCTAGCTCAGTCAGTAGAGTGTGTGTCACAACTCGGGTTGTGAGTTGACGCCCATGTTGGGCACAGAGCCTACTTAAAAAAGAAAAAATAAATCCTCCATAATACCTGGCTGAGCTGGCAAGAAAGTAAAATCCCTAAAGACTAAAATGAGAAGCAAGACTCCAGAGAGCTTGAAGCTGATGAGGACCCAGGGGACATCAGGCACAGGTTTGAGGACATTGTGTAGACAGGGCCTGAGCGAGATAAGGAGGTAGATTGGAGAACTCCACCGAAACCCAAGATCCCAGAGAACTGCATTGTCAGCTGAAGGATAAGCTAGAAAATCCTGAAAGCAAAGACATTCTAAATAGAGGGGAAAACAGTCTCCTTGGGAATTTGTCACCACAAGCCAGTAGGACTCACAAGGAAGCACGGCGCCATCAAGAGGTACTAACTAGGCCCTGTGCTAAGTCCTGGGGACAGTTCAAAGGAATTGTATACTGTCCTTGTCCAGCAGGGTGAGGGACAGAGAGAGCACAGGCTTTGAGGCCACACAGAATCTTGGCTTGACATCTTACTAGTTATGTGATCTGAGCCTTAGTTTTCTTATCTGTAAAGTGGAGGTAATAATAGTACTTACCTCACAAGGCTTTTGTGAGTGTTTAGTATACTACAGTGTATATAAAGTGCTGAGCCTGGTGTTGGGTATACTGCCTGGTGTGTGATGAATACAAGTTCATTCAAAGAACTTACAATGTAGCTGGGGATTAGGATGTGCATGTGTGCATGTGAGCATATATGCACGTGTGTATCTATGTATGTGCATATGTATGTTTGTATATATGTATTTGAGTAGAGCTGAATTGAAGTGACATTTTATTCAGACGAGGGGAGAGGGTGCAGTGAGCTAGATGGTCAGTGACAGAGTTTTAAGGACTGTCTTGCTTAGATGAGCAGATCCATGTTGGGAGATGAGCACGAACAAAGTCCAAGAAGAGGAACTGCATATAATTCCCAAGCTGTGGGTATCAGGAGTGGAGCACCCACCTTAAGGGCGGGTGCAAGCTTTGTCTCCTGCCCCTTGGTAGGTCTCTAATGGTGGGGTTGCAGAAGAAGGTAATGGAAGGTGAGGTTGTAGAAATGGAAAGGCATGTTGGGGAAAGGACGGACTAAGCCAAAGATTTGGGGTTCTGTTTTACAGGCAACAAGGGGGCACTGAAGTAATGTTTAAAGGAAAAGCAATCAGACTGGATTAGGAAAAGGGAGAGACTGAAGTGTAGTCAAGAAGGAAGGTATTGCAGTAACCCAGGTGGGAGGTCTCAGCTTCCACATTCAAAGGAGAGAATGGAATGTTGGTCCCTCAGAGGCACCTCTGGGCCATCTTCAATGCTGCGTCTTCTTCCTGGAACACGTCTCCTTCTGTGATCCCTCCACCCCTTTTCCTTACCAACTCTTCTAGATGTCATGTGGCCCAAAAACCTTTCCCTGACCTTTCGAGTCTGAATTGGGTGCCCCCACTCACCACTCACACATCGAACAGCATTTCCCCATCATTTCAGGTATCCTTTGTATTATAATTGTCTACGATTTTATCTCCCCCTTTCAGACTACAGGCTCCAGGAGGACAGGGACAGATTTACTGGGCTCACCACTCTACCTCCACTGCTTTTTACATTGCTTAGCACAGAATATTTGCTATACATATTTTCAATGAAAATATTATTATAAGAATTAAAAGAAAAAAATCAATAGATTTAGTAAAAGATGACCACAAGCTACTATCTCCCAGGGTTGTCTGAAAAAAAATCTAGGGAATCCTTGGAATCACATGGAAGCCTCTCTAATTTGGGCACCCTGTACTTTCCCTAATGTCACTCTGACTTAGCTGCTAAGTTGTGGAGTGTATTGTTCCACTTTATTTTCTCCACAGCTTTACTGAATCCAAATTTGAAGAAGACAATTGAATGTGCCAAGAGAATTGTAAAAGGAAGAGAGGGTATGGGAGCATGGTAAGTGGTACGTTTTTTGAAGTCTATGTTCATGACCTTCACCCATTACCCTTAATCCTAATCTTGGCCTAATCTCAGTCTCTGCACATCTATAGTCTCAAACTAGTGGGATCTTACCAAGCTAAGCAGTAGAACACCACTGGGTTCTACAACCCCAGGTCTCAGAAGGAAGGATGTAATCATCAGACAAATTGCCTTAAGTTGAATATACTTTTTCCTTCTCAAGTATTGTTTAGGGTTATTCAGGAGGCTAGGATGAGCATCCTTGAAGTAAATCTCTCTATATATTTCTGATTATTTCTTTCATCTAAATACTTAGGTTCTTAATGCATGTTGTGAAATGACTCTCTAACAAGTTTGTACTAACTTATATTAAGAGTTTAATAAAATGCCTATTTACTGCACTCTCAATAATTATAAATCTTTGCCATTTGAAAGGTATCTAACAATTTTATCTTCTTTTGCATTTTGTGATATTCCATTAGGGCATTTTCCCATTATGTTTGTTATATATTTATATTATTTTGTGATTTTTTTCCCCCTGCCCTTGTCCTTTGCTTATTTTTAAAATTCAGATGATCATATTCATTTGAAAGAACACCTTATATATTAGGTGTTAGATGTATTAACAGACTGTTACATATTTGTATTTTTTTCATTTCACTGAAGTTAATGTAAGTTGAAATAACAAACATACAACTAGATTATCCATCTTATTTACATATTCTTGGTCACTTATTTGGCACTATATTGAGGCATCTTCTTGATTGTTTTTTTTTAAGATTTTATTTATTTATCTGACAGAGATTGAGAGAGAGAGAGAGCACAAGTAGGGGGAGCAGCAGAGGGAGAGAGAGAAGCAGGCTCTCTGCTGAGCAGGGAGCCCAATGCGGGGCTCGATCTCAGTACCCTGGGATCATGACCTGAGCTGAAGGCAGACGCTTAACCGACTGAGCCACCCAGGTGCCCCGATAGTTACATATTTGTTACCAAAAATAACTGCAACTCTGATTTCTTCTTTAAGCAGATATTTACTTCAGAAAACCATCTAAAACTTACAAGTGTTTGGGCTTGTTTTGACTTCTTTCACTCAATATTTGTTCTTATTGTTGTGTATAGTCCTAATTTGTTTGTTCCCATTGCTGCATAGTATTCCATTATATGGATATATCAATTTATAGATCCATTATTCTGTTGGTGAGCATTTGGGTAGTTTTCACTTTTTTAGTGCTACCATGAACATTCTGTACTTTTCTTTTAGTGAATATATAAATGGATTCACATTGATTATACCACAGAATAAAATCACTGGTCATAGGATATGCATATTTTCAGATTTGGTGTATTTTACCAAACCATTTTTTAAAGAGATTCAATTTACACTTCCATCAGCAGTTGTAGGATTCAGTGGCTCCAAATTATTGTCAGTGCTTGGTATTTTCTAGTTTATTCTTGTGACTGTGTAGTGGTATTGCATTGGGTTTTATTTTGTATTTCCCTGGCAACTAATGAGATTGAGCACTTTTTCAAATGTTTATTGGCCATTTAGATATCCTTTTATGTGAAGTGCCTTTTCAAATCTTTAGTCAGTTTTTCTATTGTATTTATCTTTGTCTTATTAATTCATCAGGAATTATTTATATAGTCTGGGTAAAAGTTTTTGGTTGGATACAAGTACTACAAACATCTTCTTTCATTCTGTGGGTTACTTTTTCACCTTCTTAATGGTGTCTTGATAAAATGAAATTCTTAGTCTTAACACAGTCTAATTTATTATTACTTTCCCTTTATGGTTATTTTTAGTTATTTTAGAGAAATACTTGCCTATTCCTAGGTCATGAGGGTATTCTTCTTAACTTTTTTTTTTCTAAAAGCTTTATTTAATCTTTCACATTTGGCTCTACAATACCTTTTTCTTTCTTTTTCTTACTTTATTGCATTGGCTAGGATCGCCAGTAAATGTTGAATAGAAGTGATGATAGTGGCATCCTTGTCTCATTCCCAATCTCACAGGTAAGAAGTTCAATATTTTATCATTAAGTGTTGTATTTTCTTTAAACTTTCTGAGATACTCTTAATCAGATTGAGCGTTCCAGAAAACATGAAGCCATGTTTTCTTCCGTTTGTTAAAGGTTTTTTTAATCATGAATGGCTATTGAATTTTGGTTATTACACATTTAGTATCTTTGCAATTCTGTGTTAGCCTATCCATCTTTTTTTTTTTTTTAATTCAAATTGTTGCCTTTTTAATCTCTCTTCTCTTCCATGGTTTTCTCCAGAGGTTATGCCTGGTTACATCTTATTGACAATGTCAGTTTTATAAAATTTACTTCTGGATTCTGTAGCATGTTATTCTCCCAGGAATGTTCCTCTGAATTTAATGATGATGCCCCTTTTCCTCTACTAATATTTTCCCATAAGTACCATGTTAGTTTTATTTTTCCTTGAATAAGGACAGATTTACCCATATTTAGCATTTGCCAAATAGACAGGTTATGTGACTTTTTCTTGTTTCAGCTCACTGTTACTTTGGTAATGGTCAGACTCCCTTCAAATGTCCATCTGGACATAGACTGATGTGCAAGTCTCCTGACCGAATTTCCACTTTGGAGATTTTCCTGATATGTGTATCTAGTTCTCTCTCATAGGCTGAGCCAGTGGAGTACATGAAAACCCTTCATTCCCAGCATGCACTTCTACCACCTCCACTGATATCGTTTATCATGGTGGGCCTCTGCTATCCAGTAGACACTGTCTCACCACCAATTTCCACCTTCTTTTGCCTTTTCCACACCCTCTTATCCCACATTTCATAATTGACTCCTTGGTTGTTGCAGGATATTGTAGTCACCAGTTAGATCTAGAAACAATGTCATATTTCTCCAGTTTCAGATTGTATATCTTAATATTTTTGCTATTAGGGTTGATCCTGTAATCAATGTGTCCTCCCACAAAAGTTGTTAACAAATCATTAACGTATTTTAAATAGAGGGTATCTTACAATAGAGGAAATCCTTTAATGACAGCTATAATTTCTTTACTTCTTTGGTATGTAAGCTTTGTATGTTTACATAAACGTCATCATTTAATCCTCACAAATCCTTATGCCATAAGTATACAATGAGGAAGTGGAGGCATAGAGAGGTGTACAACAAGTTATCCATGGCCACAGTGTTGAAATTAATTCTAGATCTGTGCTCTTCTGGGCCTCAGCTTTCACAAGTCACTCGAAGAGATGAGGATGGTTGGCCTGGGAAATCTGGGCTCTGGTTGTGTGGAAGGCAACCAAAGGACCCTGTACAGTTCTTCTGTGGTGACAAATGCAGGGCTTCCAAACAGTCAGTGAGTGCAGGAGGGGCAGAACTGCAGGGAATTCATTTTGCCAGTGGGAGTCTTGAGTGGTATTTCTTACAGTGACCCCTGGGTCCTGTAGGCAGTGGAGAGCTCATTCAAGAACTGGCAACAAGAAGTGTGTCAATCTCAGAGGTCAGCTTTTCGTTGTTGCTTTTTTGTCTTTTTCTGTGCCTTTTGGTGCTAAGTTCAGTCAAAGATATTTGTCTGTTTTTCTTGCCTCTATATCTCCAGCATCTTGCTCTGTGCCTGGCATATAGTAGGTACTCCCTAAATGTTTGCTGCAAAGTCAAAGCTGCATTTGGGCTGTTACCTAGAAGCCATTAAAATTTTTTAAAATTTATTATTTATTATTTCTCAAAATAAAAATAATACATATGTGTTTAAAAATGAAAATCAAAAAATAAACTTCTTGTTCTTGTCAGCAGCCTCCTGAAGGTCACCACTATTAATATGGCTTGTAAATCAGAGAAGAATATGTATATTGAGAATGAGAAAAATATTTTAAAATACATGTGAGGGGTGCCTGGTTGGCTCATTTAGTTAAGTGTCTGCCCTTGGCTCAGGTCATGGTCTCGGGGTCTTGGGATCAAGCCCCAGATCAGGCTCTCTGCTCAGCGGGGAGTCTGCTTGTCCCTCTCCCTCTGCCCCACCCCCTGCTTGTGCGCTCTCTCTCTCTCAAATAAATAAATAAAATCTTTAAAATAAAATAAAATACACATGAAATCCCAACATACACACTGACCTGAACCTAACTTTTTTCACTCATTAATAGAGCTTGCAAATCTTGGCATATCATACCTAGAGGTCTCTGCCCTCTGGATGCTGCAGGTAATTATCTGCCAGTCCCCTACTGATGAACATTTAGATTGTTTCCATTTGCTGGACTATTGGGTGCATTTAAATGTTAGTAGAGAAATTGCTAAACTGGCATTCAGAGAGGGGGCACCTCCAGATACCCTGCGTGACTGGGCCTGTGTTCTAGACTGTTTATATAGAGCAATCAAATTTGTGCAGTTTTTGGAAATTGAGACTTATAAAATGATGCCATTCTATTTTGCTTTGTATTTTTTTTTAACATTTCATTTAGTTGTTTGAGAGAGAGAGAGAGAAAGCGCATGATTGTGGGGGGAGAGGCAGAGGGAGAAAGAGAAGCAAGCTCCCCACTGAGCAGGGAGCCCCATGCAGGGCTCGATCCCAGGACCCCGGGATCATGACCTGAGCCGAAGGCAGACGCTTAACGACTGAGCCATCCAGGCGCCCCTGCTTTGCATTTTTAAACTACAAAGAAGTTGAGCATCTTTTCATGTGTTTTTTGGCCATTTTTCTCTGAACTGATTATTTATATTCTTAGCCCATTTTCTATTGAGATGACAATGTTTTCTTTTGTTTTTATTGATTTTAGATGTGTCCTTTATAAATTAGGGTTATTAGAACTTTGTCCGTGATATCTATGTGAACTACTTTTTTTCAGGTTTGCTATTTGTATTTTGGCTTTGTTTATAGTATTTTCATCATGTAGGAGTTTTACATTTTCACAGAATCAGATCCCTCGATATTTTGTTTCATGGCTCCTGAATTTATATGAAACTACATTCCAAGTTTGTAAAGAAATGAAGCCATGTTTTCTTCTGTATTAGAACAGTGCTTAGCACAAAACAAGCCCTATATTAAGTTTTTATTAATAAATTAGAAAATAGAATTTTCACAGTTTTATGTTTTTATACTTAAATTGTTGGCCTTCTTGGAGTTTATTTTAGTACAAAAGTGAGGCAGGGATCCAGCTTTATATTTTTCAAATGGTTAATCAGTGTTCTTATACCACTTATTCATTAATCCATTTTCCTCACTCATTTAGTAGATTCATTTTAAAGTGGGAGTCCCCTTACTAATGTATCTTCCCAGGGTTTAAAATATCTTTCATACAGTCTCTACTCTTCAATTAATTGGAAGCATGGTTGGCTCTCTAGGGTGAGCACTAACGAGCTAAAATCATCTTTATTGTACAGCACTAAGTAGAGATATGCTGGACCAGGCCGATTAAAGCCTTTTCACTTGCTCAGGACTCCCAGCAAAGTGAACTCTTATTAAACTAATAAGCACCCACGTCTTTTCAAAGCTCAGATCAAACAGCTCTGCAGAGTTGAGGCAGACAGGAAGGGAAAAGACCAAGAGCCTGCATGCCCACAGGATTCCCTTCTGCAGTGTCTGCTCCAGGCTGTGGAGAGCCCTGCAATTCTGAAAATATGTATGTGTGTGTTTTCCCTGCTGCTTTATAGCTGTGAGGGGCACGAGAAGAAAAGGTTGGAGAAACTCAGTCTAGCTGGCCTAGGCAGGGTTGAAGAGCTAGGGGTGGAGCATGTGCATGGGAAAGTGATAGAGGCCCTCGTTCAAGGTCAAGGATTCCTATTTCAGACAAGGGTCTGCCAAGGACTCACCATCTCAGCCTGAGCAAGTCACGGAATTTCTCTGATGCTCACTTCAGAGAAGTTAAGAGTACTTCTCTTGGTGGGCTGGGGGACAGCCTCCCAGTTCATGGTGTGGGATTTATGGAAAGAAGGGGAGAGGTGGGAACAGGAGAATTTGGGGGGCTCCAGAATTCATGCTAGGATGTGCCGGAGTTAGCAAGAGGGTCATACTCGAGATGCACCAAATCCTTCAGAAACATGCCTGCAGCCATCGGGATGGTGAGTTCAAATGCCTCAAGGGCCAGGCTGGGGTATAAATGGGCCGGGACGGCGGGGGTCGGGGGAGAGGTTATGGAACCCTGCCCATCCTGAGCTCAGACACTGGGGAGCCCCCTCTTGTTCACTCTCCCTGCTTTCCTCTCTGCAGGCCCTCCTGGTCCCTGAATTGCCGGTTCGTGGACAATCTGGCATGGTGGTTGGATGGATGCAGACTCTAGCTGCAGGGGCAGCCCTCACAACACTCTCCAGTGGCACCTTCCACATGAAGATGCTTTCCTGTTTGCTGCCTTCACTCGACCCGGTTGATTATCTCATTGCTTGACAGCTCCAGATGGAAAAGGACAAAAATTTGCTTCAAACGTGGGTGCAGAACGCAGAATAAACCAGCTACTTACCAACCTGGACCCCGGGTCTCCACTTGTCTTATTATGCTATGATCATTACTAGCATAACCATGGAGGATCTGAAGGAAGGAAACTATCTGGAAAATAAGATGTGTCCATGATTGTCAATATCAAGCAGGGAAGGGAAGAAAAGATACAGTGGAAGAAAAGAGGGGTCAAAGGCAAGCAGGGCCACCAGTCCCAGGCTGTGTCCCTGCTGGGACACGCAGGTGGAAGTAAGACCACAAAATCCTCCTTGTACTTCTATGGAGAGAGTCACGTGACAGTTGCTCTTTTCTTTGTTTTTAATAAAAAGTTAAGTTTTAAAAAATTACCAATAGCATGTACTTGCATTAGAGAAACTGAAAAATACAGAAATGTTAAAAAGGAAAAAAAAAAGTCCTCCCATGATCTTAGCTCCCAAAAGTAATTACTATCATGCTTTGGTTGCATTCCCTTTGGGTTTTTCTTCCTGAAGAGGGTTTTTTTTTTCTTTTTAAAAAGATTTTATTATTTATTTGAGAGAGAAAGAGAGAGAGCAAGTACAAGCAGAAGGAGCATCAGAGGGACAGGGAGAAGCAGACTCCCTGCTATGCAGGGAGCCCGACCCGGGTACTCGATCCCAGGACCCTGAGATCACAACCTGAGCCGAAGGCTCAACCGACTGAGCTGCCCAGGTGCCCCTCTTCTTTATCAATAATACTCTGATAATGTTATAGATAGAGTTTGGTACCTTGGGTTTTAGAAAGAAAAATAAATCTTTGCGCTATGTGGATTGCGATTTTAAACAGGAAAGGGGCTTATTTCTGAAGCTTAGAGGCTTACAGAATCCTTGCATGGGATGGAGCAGCAGGGGCCAGCCTGGGCTTCCAGGGCATCCTGCCCGAGCCCTGGGAGCAGAAGCAGCAGCAGAGGTACCTGCTCGTCGGGAGCCAGGTCACCTGCCGGAACCCAAACGTGGAGAGCACAGTCCCTAACGATTCAGCCTTGCATGGGAGGGAAAGAACTGGAGTGGCATCGAGAGAGGCTGTCTGCAGCACGGGCTTCACCATGTGTGTCAGAGGTTCTTCCAAATGAAATCTTAGTCCCGGTTAATATTCCACTGTATGAATGCACCATATTTGATTTAACTTCCCCCCTACTATTAGATTTTTAGATATTGCCATTTTTTAACCATGACAAAGAATGCTGTAATGCCTGCTTGTGGCTGCCCCTCTTTCATTTTTTACACTTTTAAAATTACATGAGCCACATATATTTAATGAAGAAAACTTGGAGAGTACAGATAGTCATAAAGAAGGAAATTAAAAATACCCATCATTCCCCGCTGGAAACAGAAGTTTGTCTCATTGCTATGCAGCCAAAGTTGAGAGCCCTAATGTAGTCTTTCTGTGTGTACTCTTCCCTACTTGAGTGTGCGCATGTGCACATCGTCTTTCCTTACAAACATGGACCACCGCTGTATATACAGCTTGTATCTTGCCTTTTTCATGTAATATTCTGTGGCCTGATATTTCCAAGTTTATGGTAGGAAACTCAGCACTGTTTTTAACCACCTCACAGCATTCCTGCACGTGGACAAAATGTAACGAATATAACCTTCCCTTGTTGCTCTGCTCTATCCAGACACAAAGTAACTGACCTCAGGGAATCCTAGCCACCAAGAGGCAGGCAGGACTGAAAGCAGACCAGCCTTTCTTTTTGTTTGCTTCTTGGTTGCTCTCCAAGGGGAGGAGAAGTAGCTATAAGTTAGAATATCAGGGGCAGAAGTTTGACTCAAGTTCAATAATGATTGATCAGCTTAATGAATTGGTTTTGTGTGGCATTCCCCCCACTTAGAGAAAAGAGTATTCGCAGTTCCCAACCACAGGGCAGGAATCCTACAGTAAAATCCCTGCTGCGGGCTACAACTGCTGTTGAGGCAACGAGAAACTTCTGAGACCCGGAGAGGCACTTCCTTATTGAGCTGGGAACCCCACGCTCTTTCCGAGGGTGGGCCCACGTGTGATAGTGCACCTGACCTCAACCCAGCCTTCACTCAGACATTAATGACAACCTGCAATTGATTAAAACACCATCTCCTCAAGTGCCAAATCCAGCATGCTGCCGCCTCCTTCCAGCCCATTACTTGGCCACGGCTCAGCATCAGCCTCTAATGGCCACTCTGTCAACATGGGCGTGAGACTCGAGGACAAAGCAAATGTTAGGGTATCGATCAGAAGAGTTTCTCTGGGGTTTCCCAACATCAGCTCCTGGCTTGGCACTCTCAAACCCACTAATAGAGGGCATTGTGAAGAGCACTCACTCTGGGGCCAGATCTCCCCGTCTGGTATAGGGAATGGTGAATGTTTCATTTAAAAATCTCAATGGTGACTCCCATTACTATTACTTCTAGCACCAGCAGCTACCATATGAACCCCAACCTTACATAGAGTACGCCTAGGCCTTTACAAACAATATTTTCAAACCTTGCAAAGCCTTCCAAGAGGTATGAATTATAACCATATTGTGGATGGAAAAACAGGCTCGGAGGGCCTAAACAACTTGGCTTTACTCCAGCCTGGTAAGGGATGGAGATGGAATGGGTATCTCCCCAAAACTTATGGTTCCCCCCACAACCCACTCCACACCCTAGTTCTGTATTGGTGTTAATTTTTTACTCCATCCATTAGCTAGAAAATTGGTCTCCAGCTTTTCAATTAAGACTTTGCACCAAAGAGGTTTTAGACACAACTAACACAGAACAACGGGTCATTGTCAGTGTATAATTCACAGGCAGGGAAATTGAGGTCCTAAGAAATGAAGTAACTTTCTCAGCTACACAAAATAAATCAATAGAGAAGGCAGTGTCGTGACCTACCATGTTTCCAAACTCCTGTCATGATGAAAATCACCTGGAGTGTCTGTTAAAATGCTGATACCTGGGCCCTGCCTCTGGATATGGGGGCCCCGGAATGTGTATTTTAAAAAATGTTTCCAGATCTAGCTGATCTTTGGGACGCAGGAGAAGCTGGTTAGTGGCAAGAGCGTGGGTTGGGAAGACTCAAAGGACATAGGGTCGTTCCTGGCTCTGCACTGACCTTAGAGTTACTCTACTCTCTGAGCCTCATTTTTCCAACCTGTATGCTGAACTGAGTGACCCTGGCTGGGCCGGACACACGGCGGCAATGAAGTGATGGGGTCTTCTCAATCCTGGGCCCTTGGCCCGCTTCCCAGTGCCACGTTGACATGAAGGAGCAAAGATGCTGCTCAAGACCTGCCATTAGGAGAGTCTGGGGTGGTGTGTACGTGTGGGTGTCCCTTGCCATCTGGTGCCGTAGGTATCCTGCAGCATGGCTTGGCCAAGTCAGTTGCTGGAGTTGAGAAGCTTGTATCTTGCTCACTCTCAGGACACTGCTTTCGAGAATTCCCATTAAGTGGTGGCTGATTTTCGTTTTGAATCTCAAATTCTACCTACATCTGGGGTTAGCAACCAGGAGGCCCCTGCTCCTCATCACTGCTTCCTCCTTCCTCCCTTGAAGCAAGTCTGCTCCTCCATTCTCCTGTCTCCTGCCCTGAAGGTTTTTGCTCCTGCCTCACTGTTGTCCACCACTGCCGAAGTTGTCATTCTCAGTGGCCTTAGTATTTTTGTAGACAAGCCACCAGCACCCTGACATCTCAGGTTCTCAAGGTCATTGCCTGCAAAGACCTTGTTCTCAACCTCACTTCAACCACCACCCCGTGGCCATGCATGCCTCAGCCTTGTCATTACTAGTAGCTCTCTACCACATCCAGAGCCTCCACACTCTTTGAACACCACCTCATATCTTTCCATCATTTCCTCCTACAGGTCTCTAACTCTGACAATTCTTTGAATCCACTGGAATCTCAAAGGATTAACCCTCTCCCCCTTGCTCTGTCCCTCACCTTCCCCACGTCCTCACTTGTCTTCTGCCCTGGCTTAGATTCTAGGGCCACCATCGTGATGTCAGCATGAATCCACTTTTTCCTGGCTCATCTTTCCTCTCTCTCGCATACCCACCTGGCTACTCAACCTCGGGTAAACCTGACTCTCCACCTGCTCCGTGTTTGTGCCCACGTAGCTCTACATATTTGGAGAAGGAAAAAAAAAAACCCACAACACCATGTTGACTGGTGTCACTTTAAACTCTTGCCAACCATTATCAAGTGGGCCTTTGCATTTCCAATCTATTTCACACTTTCTCCTGTCTCGTTAAATCTCCAACATCTCCTCCCTAATCCACCCTCTTAACGGATGATGTTGCTTCCTATTTCACGGAGGAAATAGAAGCCTTCAGATAAGACCATCTGCAGGCTCCCACCACACCTGCCCCCACATGCTCCTCCCTCCCGTCTGTGCTCATGGATGAACTGATGATGCTCCCGGTTAAGGCTAACCTCTCCAATTGGGTCCTGGATACCACCCCCTCTTGCTTACTCTCCCACTGTACAAGAGACAAGTGATACTGCACTATCATGTTTTTTTCTTCCCTACTTGATTGCTTTCATCCTCATAAAAACATGCTGTAATCTCTCCCATTAAAAAAAAAATCCCTCTAGTGACTTCTCATTTCCTGCCATTTCCTCAAACACTCCTCAAAAGAATTGTCCAAGTTCCTTCTCTTCTCTGCCTTACTGCTCATTCTCTTCTTTTTTTAAAAGATTTTATTTATTTATTCATGAGAGACAGAGGGAGAGAGAGAGAGAGAAGCAGAGGGAGAAGCAGGCTCCCAAGGAGCAGGGAGCCCGATGCGGGACTTGATCCCAAGACCCCGGGATCACAACCTGAGCCGAAGGCAGATGCTTAACCATCTGAGCCACCCAGGCGCCCCTGCTCATTCTCTTCTTAATCCACCTCCTTGGAAACACATCGCTTGTGGTTATCGATGATCCCCATATTGCTAGATCCTAGGATGAATTCTCAAACGACATCTTGCTCTCAGCAGCGTTTGACATTGTTGATCACTTCTTCTTAAAACACTAAGTTCACTGTCATTGGGCCACCATACACTGCTGGTGCT